ATTTTACAAATAATTACATTTTTAACTAATGCTAAAAAACTACCAACGGAAGAAAATACTTTTATTATGGATTTTCAAAGATTACCGTTTATCTCCCCCATTGCCGTTTTCAAATCAAGGTTTTAGCTATATATTTTTTATCTTACAAATTTTTTTCCTCTACTTTCAAATATTGTTGTTAAACAATGCTGATTGCCGTTTTCAAATCAAGGTTTTAGCTATATATTTTTATCTTACAAACTTTTCCTCTACTTTCAAATATTGTTGTTAAACAATGCTTGATTTTACTGATTTTTGACACATCGGTGGTGGACGTTTTTAACCACGGACCTTCATATATTACTATCTATTCTTCGATAAATTCTGGGAAATTATAACTGGGAAAATGTTATTTGACAAAATGTTCATTTGATCGATACCAAATTTAGGTTCTGAATTTTAATAACATAAATAAAAAATAATATAACCTAGAAAGTGTTATAAAATACCAATGAGTATATAATTATACAAATGAGTTCTTTCAGAGCATCGTGTTTGAGAAAAATATGTCAAAAAGTGCATTTTCATATTAACATTTCAAAAAAGTTGATATTTTGAGTTTCTAGTAACACTTACGGCCCGTTTACTAACGTTTTTGTATGTAAATAAAACTACAAACAAAACTACTTGCTACAATCATAATTAAATAATATTCACCTAAACACCCTATTAAACATAATCGAAAATCATCTGTCAAAAACGTTTGACATTTCAAGTATTAGCCACCGTCCATTGTTTTATTTACATTACGCATCAACAAAAATTTTCAAATTAAAAATGTAAAGTTTCTACGCGATTTTGAAATAATATCTCACCTTTTGGACAATCTTTGGATTGGCACGAATTTTTCAAGACTAAGACTGGCCAAATCCATTCAGCCGTTTTCGAGTTTTATTCGGACATTTGAAAGACAGCTCCATTTTTATATATAAGATGATGTTATAATCTACAAAAATTAATGACATATTAATTTTGATATTCAATCTTTAGAAAATATTCATACAAAAATAATTTTCCTTTATATAGTATTTAAAAAAAAAACAATTGTAGGAGGTACGTATTCTGTTTGGATGCTATTTATACCCCTTTTCATCTTGTTATTACAAAAATTATTATAACACTTTTATAAATAAATTATAAAATATTTTTATAATAATTTATGATAAACATTTGTAAGTAAAATAATAATTTTGAGGATCATCGTTAACTTGGTTATTTATCTAATTAAGTTTCATAAGATATTCATAGTTATCTATTGAATATAAGAAATAGTAACAGATATCTGCATTTAAGAAAAAGAAATATTATGTTATGAAAGAAATTTATACCAACACATTTGCCAGTCATTTTAGTAATGATTTTTTTTATAAGTAACCCTTCAATGCATCAAATTTTGTCACTATGTAATTATATAGCTATTTCCGCATATTAAGTGTCTCCATAAATAAAATCTATATAATAACAAAACTCTAATTTTTAATTATTAATTAAATTTCGTAATATATTTTGAAAATTCAAAATAATATCTGTTCAGTTATTTTACATTATCATAAATTTCATAGAATAAAAAAAAATTAAATCAATTAATGCAGCACATATGTCGACGTCCTATAAATTTTTAGTACAAATTTGACATTTTCAAAATTTATAGAAACACGAAGAAAACCCAGTGATATAATATACTATTTAAATATAATAGTTTTTAAAATACTGATGATACAATTGCATAAATTTCTTCCCAAATTTAGGAAATGATTAGACTTCAGTAACTAGACTTTCCAATTTCAATAAATAAAATTTAAATAAATAGACTTTTAAAATTTATAGAAACACGAAGAAAATCCTATGATATAATATACTATTTAAATATTATAGTTTTTAAAATACTGATGATACAATTGCATAAATTTCTTCCCAAATTTAGGAAATGATTAGACTTCAGTAACTAGACATTCCAATTTCAATAAATAAAATTTAAATAAATAGACTTTTAAAATTTATAGAAACACGAAGAAAATCCAATGATATAATATACTATTTAAATATAATAGTTTTTAAAATACTGATGATACAATTGCATAAATTTCTTCCCAAATTTAGGAAATGATTAGACTTCAGTAACTAGACTTTCCAATTTCAATAAATAAAATTTAAATAAATAGACTTTTAAAATTTATAGAAACACGAAGAAAATCCTATGATATAATATACTATTTAAATATTATAGTTTTTAAAATACTGATGATACAATAGCATAAATTTCTTCCCAAATTTAGGAAATGATTAGACTTCAGTAACTAGACATTCCAATTTCAATAAATAAAATTTAAATAAATAGACTTTTAAAATTTATAGAAACACGAAGAAAATCCAATGATATAATATACTATTTAAATATAATAGTTTTTAAAATACTGATGATACAATTGCATAAATTTCTTCCCAAATTTAGGAAATGATTAGACTTCAGTAACTAGACTTTCCAATTTCAATAAATAAAATTTAAATAAATAGACTTTCAAAATTTATAGAAACATGAGGAAAACCCAGTGATATAATATACTATTTAAATATAATAGTTTTTAAAATACTGATGATACGATTGCATAAATTTCTTCTCAAATTTAGGAAATGATTACACTTCAGTAACTAGACTTTCAAATTTCAATAAATAAAATTTAAATAAATAGACTTTCAAAATTTATAGAAATATGAGGAAAACCCAGTGATATAATATACTATTTAAATATAATAGTTTTTAAAATACTGATGATACAATTGCATAAATTTCTTCTCAAATTTAGGAAATGATTAGACTTTTAATAACGTTATTTAATAATAAATAATTTTTATATATTATAATAAATAATTTGATTCTGACCCTATTTTAATTTTTTCAAATGATTATCTGTGACCCTAAGTTGTTTTTTAATTCATATTTTGATTGTAATCCTATTTTGATTTGCAGGAATTTTATGACTATAACCTTAATTTGGCTATTTTCTAAATAAATATTTTGATCGTGATATCACAAAAATCTGATTATATTTATAAAAATAATAAATATTAAATTTATGACATTAATGACTAATAAAATAATCGGTATAATCAATAGTAGTAAAATAAGTAAATATAAATGCAAACTATAAAGTGCACCAGTCACTTAAATGAAATGACTTTATACTCGTATAAGCGAGTTTTCAATTTAAACTTCTATTAAAATGCAAGCCCATAGTAAGTTCCAGATCTCAGATATGTGTATAAACAAACTACTTGTTTAATCGATGAAAAATATAGATTAGGAATTATCAATCACTATCATAACATCTCCCACGATTTTTAATAAAGCCACGAATTCAATAAAGAATAATTTTACCAAAGTAACTAATCTCAATACAACTCTTTAAATTCAGTAATTTCAAAATCTCAGTAAATGTTTAGAAATAATAATTCCCAATTTGTAGCAAACTCACTCAAGTCCTCCCCCAAGTCCATCGTTAATTCCTGGTTTCAAATATCGATAATATCGTAATATCTATATAAATTATCGTTCGATTGATGAATGATAGAATATCTCCACGTCATGGTCTCGATTAATTTGGTATCCGGCAGTGTTTCAGGATGTGCATGTCATGATATTCGTGGGTTTCGGGTTCCTGATGACGTTCCTGAAACGATATGGCTACAGCTCAGTGGGTTTCAATCTATTAGTGGCAGCCCTCGTAGTACAATGGGCAGTACTATGTAGAGGATACTTCGAATTGGAAGATGGAAAAATCAGGTCAGTAGTAAAGGATTCTGGATTTTTTTTATTATATTATACCAATAGTTTTTATACGTATATAGTAAAGGATTCTGGATTTTTTTTGGTCATATCATACCAATAGTTTTTAGAGGTGAGACTAATTAAACACTGGTAGTCGTATATAATGCCATTAGAGTTATTAATTTATGTGCCCACCTATATTTCTGACGCTGTCTCTGGCCATTAATCATTTTTTGTTTTGTTTTTCCATTTTATTTCATCAAATGTGTGCATAAATATACATACGTGCAGGTAAATAATATAGGGTAGGGCGGGGTTTGAAGGTCTGCGGGTAAAAAGGTCCACCACCAATATCTCAAAAACAAGTAATGTAAGGGCAAAATATGTATATCCAGACATCACCATGATTTTTACTTCGTCACTATTGGGATATAAAAGGCAATGTTTGAAAAACCGTAGTATTTTCTTTCGTTGTTAGTTTTTTTGGTTGTGAGCACTGTTGTTTAGTTTACGAGACCCCAATATAATATTTTAGTATATGTCATTTAATTGTTTTGTGAGATATATTGTTGTTTTCAAGTTCAACAAGATTTCAATTCAACAGATTTTTTTCTATGGCCTCTATAAGGGCTTACATGTCTGTGGGGTTTCTTTTGATCAAAAATATAGAACGTTTTTTTGTGATGAAAATGGTAAAATTCAAATATTTGTAATAAAGTGATGAAGGCAATTTTATATTTTACAATACAAAATATCAAGTCGATATATATAAGTCGGATGGTGTAGTTTTGATATAGTATATAGTTATTATATTAGTATATAAATTGTATAGTTTTGCTAGTAGATAGTATTATTGTTACAGTGTACCAAGTGTCATTGATATCAGTTTTGAATGATTTATTGATTATTAGTTTGACTAATTCTAACTAAGTTATTTTATCGTATTATTTTAAAGGCTATCCTCCAAATTTTACTAAAGTTGAAAATGAATACTATTAATGATTTATAAGATTCAAGTATACTTGAATGTGTATAACTTGAATGTAAGTATACGTACATTCCATATGACAATAAATAATTTATATACATAATTTTGCACAAAAGTTCTAACACAAGGATAAAAACTCTTGCAAATACGGTTCATCTTAAAAAAAATCTTATGGTAAAAAGTAACATAAATAAAAAGTCCCTCCTCCAGTTATTTGAATACGGAACTCTAAGCACTTTTAACTATTTAATATAGACAAAAATCATATTACGACTTTAATTATTCTACCAGTTTAACTAAATACTTTAAAAACAATAAACTTACAATTAGATAAAAAATACGCCTCATTGAAATATTTTAATCAACTTTGTACAATTATATCAGATAAATTAGTTTTAATTTTTTCATTTTGTAGAAAGCTCTTGAGTAATAAAGCTCGAAGCAGTATATAAACTCATTTAAAAAAAAAGAGTGCGCGTAAGGATCACACGCGATTGAAGTAAAACTTTTAATATTGTATGAGTAGGCAATTAAGATAAAAATAAAAAAAACATCATATTTGAATTTTAAAAATCATCTTTTAATAATCATATAACATCAATAATAATAAGATCTCCTGAGCATCGGCACAGCTGTCCTACTGATATTAAGAGTTTGAATATGATGTGAAGCTTTCTTCCTAATTTTGTTACCTATCTTACCGGGAAATTCAAACCATAAACGTAGAAGTTCATCATCATCGCCACGTTCTATGTACACTAATTTTCCCACACAACCATTAGCTAAGCCATCACTTACATCAATATTAGTTGTTATTATGTAAAATTTATTCAGAACTAAAATTATTTCATACGGCAAACCCCCCGTATCAATAACCGATTTTTTTGAAACTGCTGACGAATGTATGATTGTTGATCTGTCGCATGGCAACCTACATAAATATCCGTGGCTGTAGATATTATTTTGTCTTCAACGAGATTCAGTATAAATTTATTATATTCCATGGCACATTTATTCTCTAAGAAAAGTCTTATTCCATGAGGACATAATACAGCAACCTCTTCTTTTGTAAAAAAAACGTGATTCAATTAATGCAAGTTTTCATATAGGGTTTAGCGCTCGACTTACGCATGACATGACGCGATATGAGTGGATACTCGCGACATCAGCGCTTACGGCGTCGTAGTGTTCAACTACACGTTGGCATTTTCGTTGCATTTGTACGGATTTACACCCGTGTAGCCTAAAGAAATTTTTACACCCATATCGCGCCTAAAGAAGTTTTACTTCAATAATGAAAATCTGTCTGATTGACGTAGCTAAAATTGAACAATTTGTCCTACTATATGCATAATTTATAGAAAATATTTAAATGGATAGAGGCAAAAAATCGTCTATTTTGTATATATATATTTTTATCTTGTATGAAGTAATTTGTTTTGCTAAATAATTTTTTTCTAATCAAGTTGGAGTTTAAATCAGCTCATGGACCTGTTCCCGGACAGTACTATCATTATCATAACATATATTTGGAAATATTAATTAAACTTTTAGCAGTTTCTTCTAGCACGAATATAGTGTGATTATTCAATTTCTTCATATAAAAGTAAATACACGAAAAAAATACATCTGTTCACACACACATACTTTTCTAAATTTGGTATCATTCGATTCAAAATATCTTGAAACGTCGAAGAAACATGAAATTAGCGATTGGGATTTATTGATTATTTCAAAATTATATTGATTATTGATTATTTCCTTCGGGAAGTTAAAAAAAAGAATTGTTTCAAAACTTCTTAAACTACTCAAATGTGACTCATATACGCATTGAGCAAATGATATGCAATTATTAACATTTATTATATTATTTTATTCGCGAGTAATAATTAACATAGCATGAAAAGTTAATTAGAAAACTAATCCAATTTGTATATTATTTGTTCTAAAATTTGATTTATATTTTAATTCTGTTGATGATATGTAATTAGAGAACAAAAGTAATTTAAGTTGATGTTTGTACTCGGTAACGATATTTTAATTAAACACGACACGATTACCCAGACAGAGCATACCCTATAATTGCTTGTTTGTTTATATGACTTGAAAGGATTTGCCCCGTAATATTATATCGACTGACACCTTATTCCATAACATTGTAAATGTATTCATATGTATATATATATATATATATATATATATATTTCTTTTGTACGGATGTATGAATGGAAATTCCTCCTATGAATGGAAATGTTGTAGAAAGAAATGGAAAAAATTCCAAAAACAATATATCATTGTCAGATATTGAAAACATTTTGACACAACTTTCACCTGCCAAAAATATTATGTCAATTTAAAATAAATTATGAGGATAGATATTTTTAGAATATGATATATTCGCGACTAAGGAAAATGTAATGTCTACATTACTATTTCCAAAAAGCACCTGAGATATGCTAGAAAATATAATAATATAAGATACAAGATACGTTTGACAGATGAAATATAATTCAGTATGACAGATTATATATTTTTTAACTTATGCATGCCGTATTTTGCCTTACTTTACTAAATTACTTCACAATACAAAAAAATGTACTTATTCAAAAATATATTTATAAGCTTCATGGTGTCAAAAACTAATTTGTTTGCCATTGGATATTGAATATTTACTTAGTTGATCGTAGATTGAATAGTGCACATATGCACAGGATTTGACAAATTAATTCACTTGAAATATGAGACTTAAGTAATAATGAATATTAAATTATTAGTGAAAAAATGTAATTTAGATATTATAATTACTAAAAACCAATTAAAATGGTACGAGATTATAAAAAATATAGCAACATTATTGCAGCAATTATTTTGGGTGGAAAAATCCAAGGTGATATTGGACAACGTCTGTCGGGTCATCTAGTATATATATATGTATATATATATATATATATATATATATGCATAATTTTATATTCAAATTTACTAATACAAATAGCATTTTTGAAGTATTATTTCTTTTGATTTGCAAATTGATAATTTTCAGTCATATTGGGTTGACCGCATTTTAATCAACCTGTACGCATTATTAATTTGCAGTAAAACATTTACAAATAATTAAAAAATTAATGTTATATTTTAATTTTCATATGATTTACACCAATCGTTATTATTTTTGCATAAATAATTAAAATCTGGTATTAATTAGTAATTACTAGTAAATTGAATAGAATGTTACCAATATCAATAATTATAATTAATATTTTGTTGCAGAGGATATAATTTTGATTATGTACAAATTGTAAATTTGATAATAATCATACTAAATGATGAAAATGAATTTATGCTGTATATGAAACATAATTGAATTATTACAAATTAGGAAATAAAAAGGATCACACGCGATTGAAGTAAAACTTATTTTCTACTGTACAAAGTAGCAATTTTAAGTTAGGTAAAAATGAATACACCCAGGCCTCGCTATACGGCCGCTCTTTATACGGCCTTTCGCTATAACGGCCCTCTTTAATTAAGGTACGTTTTCGATATACGGCCTAAAATGTTTCGCTATAACGGCTTTTTTTCTCTATGTCGATATATTGCGCAATCTCGGTTTTGAAGATTTAAACGAATCTGATGTGCTGGATCTACTTGCAACTGATAGGGAACCCCTCTCATATGAGGAACTCATTCAGTTGCAAGCAGAGCCGGCAATTGATGAAGATACAGAACCTGTTGTATCCAAACAGCTAACATCAAAAATCATGTCGAGCGCCTTTTCATATTTTGAACAAGGTATAAACATCTTCCTTGAAAACGATCCTGACATCGAACGTAGCGCTTATGTGTATCGAGGAATTAACTCAGCCATTAACTGTTATAAATCACTAAAGGAAAAAATAGACAAGAAGGCAAAACAAACAAGACAAATTTTTCAACCCACCAGCGCAAAATGATGGTGACAGTGATCTGTAGGTTTTAGTTGTTTCATTTTTATTTGAAAATTATGTAATGTTTTTGAAGTTTTTTA